CTTACTAAAAAAAATAATAATAAATGAATAGCAGTTAAGATCTCCTAGCACTATATAGAATCACATGTCATACTTGTGAATTTAATGACTTGTTTTGCTTTCAAAACTTTTCTATTTCTTGGAACAACATTTATAAGCTTTATATTATCTATTAAGTATACTTTTCTATTTATCTATATATTACCTATTAATCTTACCTATTAATATTAATTCAGTTTTAATTTTATTTACAAGAATGACTTATCATTATCAGCAGACTCAACCACAAGCACACACATACTGCGTAGCAACAGCTAGAAGGGGGGCTGATTACTTCCTGATTGCTTCTCTATAATGTGCTCCTGTCCCTGTTCCCATAAATCACACTCTTATTTGACTCCACATATCAGCATTTCTTGCTCTTGTTTATGGCCTGAAACTTTTTTTTTTTTTTTTGCATTTTCCCAATTTTGTGACTGATTTTTTTCATGATTTGAAATTTGGAAAGACATATACATTAATGAGAAATGCTAACCTCTCAACTCACATGATTCTAGGTAGGGTTTGGCAGAAAACTTTAGTCTGGGGCCTGTCGCATGTGTCTCTGAGCCTGATTTAAGAGACGGTAAACTTTGGGGCACCTGGGTGGCTCAGTCGGTTAAGCATCCAACTCTTGGTTTCACCTCAGGTCATGATCTCAGGGTTTCGTGAGTTTAAGCCCAGCCTCAGGGCTCCATGTTGACTGTACAGAGCCTGTTTTGGATTCTATGTGTGTGTCTCTCTCTCTGCCTCTCTTTCTCCCTCTCTCCGTCTCCCTTTCTCTCTCAAAATAAATAATAAAATTGAAAAAAGTCTTAAAAAATAAGACACTGTAAACTTTGATGGGTTCACAGTCTTGAGGCAATGTCAGTCTAGTGTCAGACTTTGAGGAAAATCAACCTCAAGGAAAAGTAAAGTAGGAGTTTTCCCCAAAACACAAATCAGAGCCGATCTCAGCTACCCATTGCCATCCCTATTAAGTGAGAGTCTATCTGTCTTACCACTACAGCCCCAAAGGTTAAGGGATCACAAATTCTAAGTAGCTAATTCAAAGAATGAAACTATCCCCACAGGATTTAGAGCTTCTAAATCTGCACTTTTCCATACTAAAAGCTCCTGTCCATATCCCTATGGTCTTATATATAAATGTTTTTTGCCAGTTTATGTGTGTGTGGGGGGCGGGGGGGGCACCATTTTTCCATTCCTTAACATTGCCTTGGATACATGACCTTCATAAATTATCTTGGATCCATGAGCTTTATAAATTATCTCTTGGGACATTGACCCCGGAAGCCAATGAGAGTATTTTTCAATTGAGTTTGCCTATGACCATATTATACAGTAAACTGAGTGACATTCTGTTTGGTTCTATTTTGACATTATTCTTGATAATGTTATCTAGTGAAGCTCACTAACAGGGAAGCAAAACTGATACGTCTTACCCTGCCTACATTATAAACAGATATGCAGATAGCATCCCACAAATGATGAGAAAAAAGAAAGAAGCATCAACACTACAAATTAAAAAGAAAGTTAAAAAAAAAACAGATCCCTGGGTCACCTTGTCTGGTTTTCATCCTCAAATTAAATGAAACTCTATTTTTTTTTCCTATAAATTACAGATTTCCTAGCAAAGATAATTTTATCTTTTGGCTTTTAGAATAGCAATATTTGAAGATATATATTTGCAGGTATAATAACTCTATGAGAAACATTTTTTTTCCATCAGAACAGCTAAATGTTAACCCAACATTTTATACTCTTTTGGAGTTTTTGTTTTTGTCTACAAATACCTTTGCATTTTTTTAAAAATCTGTGAGTCAATACTTCAAAAGCCTGAAACTTGCATTTTCTTTCCCACATAAACTACTCTTCTCAAAATGCTTGTAGTTGAGTCATTTTTAAATGTTTGTTTATTTTTCAGAGAGAAGAAGAGGGAGCATGAGAGAGTGGGGGAGAGGCAGAGAGAGAAGGAGATAGGATCTGAAGCGGGCTCTGCACTGACAGCAGAGCTCTAATTCACATTGTGAGGTCATGACCTGAGCCAAAGTTGAATGCTTAATGGACTGAGCCACCCACTACCCCTTCTGAGTCATTTTTTAATACTAGGATAGGTGATCTAACATGCAACATATGACAGCATACCTCCAAATATAAAGCTAGAAACAGGAAATTTTCTCTTTCCATAAAATAAATGGATTTTATACAAATATCATTATTGCAAATATAGTGAAGTCTATGGAGTCCAATTTAAATCCTAACTCTAGTACGTGCCAGCTCTGTGTCCTGCAGCAAATTACTTGAGTCGACTCCATTATCTTCAATAGTAACAGGCACTTAATAATAGTACCTATTTTTGAGGTTTTTGAAAGTGTCAAGACAATAATATATGTAAAGCACTTAGCCAGAATCTTCTGTATTAGGCAGCCAATAAATTTTCTTCACTGATCATTAACCACAAATTCAAATTTTTATGGAAAATAAAATTAATTCTACCATACATACTCTTTATATTTATTTCCACCTCAGGAATATCATGAGAACTGAAAGGTACCAGTGGGAAAACCTATATAGAAAATAATTTAGGAATTTAAAAAATCTTTGTTGAACAGAAATTTATTATTGAAAACACAATATCTACTTAAATGATGTAGGCATTGGATTAACAGCTTAGCAATCAATGTATCCCATTATATATTACCAAAGCCATTTTTAAATTTTATTTATTTAAAACAATATTTTTACATTTATTTATTATTGAGAGACAGAGAGAGACAGAGCATGAACGGGGAAGGGTCAGAGAGAGAAGGAGACACAGAATCTGAAGGAGGTTCCAGGCTCTGAGCGGTCAGTACAGAGCCCAACGTGGGGCCCAAACCCATGAACCATGAGATCATGACCTGAGCTGAAGTTGGACACTCAACCAACTGAGCCACCCAAGCACCCCACTAAAACCATTTTTAAAAATGAATATATGTGACATATAACTTTTTATGAAATATTTCTACAATTATTTCACAAGTGTAATACTATTAAATAAGAACAAGTTTTAAAATAGACTGTTTCTATAAGGAAAATGGTCAAAATTTCTGTTACATCACTTTGTATAAGAAAGAGAAAAATATATTTAATATCTTACTACAACCAACAAAAGATATCAAATGAATTCTAATTTTACTCTAGGGAATTAAATGTCAGAAAAGAGAAATAATATTTTAATGCAAAATATAACCCTATACAACCAGTATTCTAAAAATGAAATAGAAATTTCCCTTGAGTAGATACTGGTATTGACTTTAAATTTTCTATTTTTAAATATTAAAATTATTATATGTAAAATTATTAAATATGCTAAATAGGAAGAAAAAACATGAATTCCATTTTTCCATATCCCTGTAGTCAATTTAGATTTCACGAAATGAACTATCACGCTAAAAATAAGTTTTAGGGTTTTTTGTTTGTTCTTTTAAAAAAATTTTTTAATTGCCAAATTTATCTTTTTTCCATTTTTTTTTTCTGTTTTCTGTTAGTAACACAAAGGCTATTTGGGATATGTTCAAAAGCTAACAACCACCCATGTAAGGAAGAAAGAATTAGAACACTGTTTCCCAAAAGAGAGTGCCTGGGTCATCTATGTCAATATTGCCTAAGGGGTTTTGAAAAATTCAGATCCCAGGGCTTCACTCCATAATAATTGAATCAGATTTGGGGGATGGAATATTTATATTAAAGTAATATCTTCACGGGCCTAAAGAAGGATGATTTAACAAACAAAAAACTAATTTTCACCATTCATATATATCCCTCAGGCAATGTCAGTGCCACCACAAAAAGCAATCCCAGCTATCTGAGTGCTTGAGTATGTGAACTTTAAGCTCCTCGTGGACCCTACCTGCTGTGATAGCACTTTCCTCTCTAGATGCAGTTATGGTAAGGAGTTTCTTTTAGTCATTTTTGGATGTGCTCAAGCATATTGATTGAATAGCTAGAATGGAAAGAAACTGGATGGTGGAGAGCTCACAAGGAAGAATAAAATATAGACAGGTTCTGAAAACTTAAAATCCTATAAGAAAAAAAAAAACAACCCACAGATAACAATGGTGTAGGTTAAAATGCTATAGTCTCCAGAAGAAAATTCAAAACTAACATGACATAAGACATAAAAGAAAACAATTAAATTCATTATGATGAAGAGATATTGAAAAGGACTTTTATAATGAAACATGGTATTACATTTATACCCCGACTTAGGCAAGACTGTGAGGGGGAAATAATAGAAGTTTTAAGGATAGGAAAATAATTAAATATCCCTCATTGTGAATTCATAAAGCACCCAATATTCGGGTCATTTTTCTTTTTATTATATTATATCTTTAGCTAGAGATTTTTGGACATCTCTTACATTTTTTTCATTGTAATATTAGTGTCTCAAAAATGCCTGGGGTAAGTGTTGGTCTAGATATTGTAGGGTGGTTTTTTGTTTTGTGTTGTTTTGTTTTTCTTTTTGCTTAAGTAAAGCCATCACATATGAGACTCAGAAGAAGAAAAATCTTTATAGATCTTAAGTTTAAAACTTTAAAGTATTAACAAATTCTTTATCTAAGGATCAAAAATCTTTTGAAGAGCTGTGGGTAAAGCACAACTGAGACTCTGCATATGCTTCAGGGAGTAGGACTCTGTCAGTGGCTGATCATTATCTTTCCATCTGAATATCTAGATTTAAGGCTATCACACTTTTCTTTATAAACAGCAACTATAACTTAGAATTTCTATGAGTCCTAAATCCATAGATTTAAAAAAATTTGTTATAGTCAATCCACAAGTATTTGTGAAGCATTTGTGTGTTCCTAAATTTATATTACTAGAATCATCAATTAACTAGTGGCATCAGATCCATTTGGATAAGCGATTTACATTTTTCAATACATTTACATGAACTGTGTTCTAAGAAAACAAAAATGTAAATCTGAATAGAACCGAAACACAGTAATTAGTTTTATTGATGTTAGTGTGGAGAGATGATTTGAATATTGAAAAAAAGGAGAGAAGTATGTAAAAACAAAACAGAATTTCAGATACACAAAGAGAACAAATTTATAACCTGGGAATTGCATTCAGAAAGTAATAAAGCAGTAAATTGGTAAAGCTTTCAGTTCCTTAAATATCAGTTGTGTATCACATGTACCGGATGTACAGAGGCAGCCAGTCCAGGGCCGCTGTGGCAGTTCCACAAACACTTTAAGGACTTGAAGGCATTCTATCTCTCTGGTTACCATAGTTTCCAACTTCAAGGACACAAGATGGTTACTGGAACTCCTAACATTAGGTACAAGTTGCAAGAAGCACCAAGGATGTCTTTTCCAGATGAGAAAATCCCTCTTAAGGAGCTTTTCCAGAAAGTTCAGTTCCATCTGGTTGTCCAACCTATTTGAAAAGATTACTTGGTAAACTTTTCTTCCTTTGTCTGTTTTTGTTATGACCATTGCATGTTTGCACCCAAATAAACCAAGAAGGCTTGTAGGAGTAATGTATACAAGAGTCACAGTGTAAACTCCATCATTATAAGATAAAGAGGTTTAAAAGGTCATTTAATCTACAAGATAGTTCTACTCTGTTGTTGAACTATTTGGAAAGGATAGCAAAGACCTATCTCTCTGATAAAAAAGAATAAAAAGCACAATACTCAGGAGTTCATCACAGCCAACTCAAAACTAGTTCCAGCTGTGATAGGTCTAAAAATGTTTTCTGGTTATGCTTTAATATCAATTTTAAGTAACTTTGTTCTCAATATTTTATCAACATATTTTGTTACTTGTTTCTAGAACAAATGGATTATGTCCCAAAAGTACAACTTCACGTAGAATGTCCACAGTATGTATCTGTCAATTTCTGCCCGGGAAATGACTATATAGGTTATACATTTCACAAAAAATTACAAGAAATAAGATTACACCGAAGAAAGAAAAACCCACAGGACTGCTTTGAGCCAAAATATTTCATGATGAAAAGAAGACTTCTAGCTTTCATATGCGACTGAGAATAACAGCATTGTAATGAATTAATGCAGACAGTTACTGAGTATAGAGACTAATGTAAAGCAAGGGGGGAAAGATGGCAGTTAATTTTTCTACAGTCACGCTGCAATAACATTTTTCTTGTGACCATGATCTCAGACTTTGTCCGCACAGAAATATCATAAAGTATACAATCTACAAATACTAACCTCAAATCACATAAAAACTCAAGGAATTAGGATAGCCCATTTACTAACAATACTTGCTTCTTTAAATATCCTATGAGATGCCACATTTAAGCCTTGAATGTACATATAGGAGTTTTTCTAACACAGGCAAATCATTACACATAGTATCACTGAAAATAAACTGAACTATAAGATGGTAGTAATGACAGAGTTAGTCCCAGAAGTCTACACTGTGGTTTTAAAATGACTACACGTTTTGACATGATAAATAAGGTTTAATATTTCATCTTAACTACTTTAGTAGACATATCGTATCTGCCTATCAACCATGTTTTTAGCAATCTGGTTGTCCTCCATTTTAGCTCATAAGATTTGCGTGGTACTTAGCACAACTTCCAGTTTGGGGATTATGCAAGAGACTCAAACCTGATCAGTTAGAATATGCCACTCCACAGGTCACAGTTTGATCCAGGGACGGGCATGTGACCAAAGTGAGCCAGTCTGGGTCTTTTAGTGGGGACTGCTCTGGCTTCTGAAGAGAGAGGGTTTTTCTCCTTGTAACATAATAGTGATAACAAAACATCAGGCATTGTCCGCCCGCCCCCCGAGTGCCGCTCCAGCTGCACCGTGCTCGCTCAGAGCTCTCGCTCCTGCTAAGCTAGGGCTTTCGTCGTCTCTCCGGCCGCTTGTCATGATCATTTACAGGGACCTCATCAGCCATGATGAGATTTTCTCCGACATCCACAAGATTCCAGAGATCGTGGACAGACGGTGGAGGGGAAGATGGTCAGTAGGACAGAGGGTAACATCGATGACTCACTCATAGGTGGAAATGCCTCCACTGAAGGCCCTGAGATTAAAGGTACCGAGAGCACAGTAGTCACCGGTGTGGATATTGTCATGAACCATCCCTTGAAGGAAACCGGCTTCACAAAGGAAGCTTACAAGAAGTACATCAAAGATTACATGAAATCAATCAAAGGCGAGCTTGAAGAACAGAGGCCAGAAAGAGTAAAACCTTTTCTAACAGGGGCTGCAGAACAGATGAAGCACATCGTTGCTAATTTCAAAAACGACCAGTTCTTTATTGGTGAAAATGTGAATCCAGACGGCATGGTTGCCCTGCTGGACTACCGCGAGGATGGTGTGACCCCATGGATGATCTCCTTTAAGGATGGTTTAGAAACGGAAAAGTGTTAACAAATTTGAGTGTTAACTTCGGATGGATCACCTGTTGTCATAACTGGCTGCTGCTCATCCACCTGACACCAGGACTTAGACAAATGGGACTGACGACATCTTGAGCTCTTCATTTACTTTGACCTTGATTTATGTGGAGTGGAGGCATTGTTTTTAAGAAAGCATGTCATGTAGGTTGTTTAAAATGATTTAAACTCATTTACCAGAATGCCTCTTGGTTTAATCCATATTTAAATCCATCCTGGGTAGTGTCCGAGAGAAGCTGGAGCCTGGGTGTAGGCTGCTACTAGAGCGCATAAGACTGCCTGCAGGTAACTTCTACCATGAGAACTACTTCTGGGACTGAAATATAAAAAACAAGAACCCAAAGTTTTAATTCTGAGTTCGAGTAAAGGAAAAGACCATGCTCATAACTGTGCCAACATTTGAAGTGGATTCCTTGCACATTCCATCACCTGCAAACGGAAGTAACTCTGGAAGAGATTACCGAAAGAATAAAAAGAGGCTAATGCAGTTGGGGAAAAAAAAGAATCGTGTTATTATTTATACAGATGAGATTTTCAAGCTCCTAGGATGGCAAATAATAGACATATAATAAAATTGGAAATTTTTATTTTATACATAAAAAAGAGCAGATTCCTATAATAAGAAATCAAGTAAAATAGATAGGAGAAGGAATATAGGATCTGAAATTAGAAATCCTATTCTACCCCTTGCTGTATATGGAAATTCACACAAATTATTTCACATCTAAGCATCTGTTTTCTCACCAGAAAAATAGTTTAATACTTTTTTTCATCCCTCTGATTAATGTGTGATAACTGGCTACATAATTTGTGGTGCCCTGTGCAAAATGAAAATGTAGGACTCATTGTTCAAAAATTATCAGAAATGTAAACACAGTGATTCATTAAACCAAGTGCAGTTCCTTCTGAGTATGAAGCCCTGTGCAACCAAATAAGTCATTACCTACGAAGGGAGCCCTGTGTGTGGAAGATTAAATAAGATCATGACTCCTTACCTCTTCTTCTGAAAGAATGTTGTGCCAGTTCCTCCTCCTTTTGACAATGGGCTGGCCCCGGGGCTCGCATTGACTAATGGAACATGAGAGCATAATGGTGTGCCATAACACTTTCACCATTCTTGAAGCCATGCGTGAAGTTTGCCCATTTTAAGACCAATGTATTATGAGGACACCAAAGCTAGCCACTTAGGGAGAGGGTGACAGAGACAGAGAGAGAGTTCGTCCATGTGGATAAATATCAAAGTGGCAGGCATGTGAGGGAAGTTTTCTTAGATCTTCCAGGCCAGGCAAGCCACCAGGTGAATGCAACCAACTGAATGATCCCAGCCACACAGTGTGCAAATTCCTGAGACACTGAAGAATGAGAAAGTAAGATAATTATTCTTTTAAGCCATTAAGTCATGGAGAAGTTTGTTATAGAGCAATAGATAATGAAAGAGATAATTGAATATTTTTATAAATATAATTTATTGTTGATGTTAAAATCATTAATTTGTTAATGTTAATAAAATAAGGTAGTATTTTATTGTTTTGTTTGGGTTGAAGCAATGAATCTGGACACTGGGCAGACACACACACACACACACACACACACACACACATACTGGGCCTCTAAAATTAAAATAATTTTGTATGATGACATTACTGTGTATAGTTACAGATACTTAGTATAGTCATATCATATTGCAGACAAATAATGGTTCTCATAAATGTCATGTCCTAATGTCTAGACCCTGCAACTTTGCTACTTGATATGATGTATTAGTTTTCTAGGGCTGTCACATAACAAATTACCACACACTTGCCTCACAACTGTAATGTCCAGAAGTACAAAATCAAGGTGTTGATAGGATAATATTCCCTCTGAAGGCCTAGGAAGAAATTCTTCCTTGCCTCTTCCAGTGTCTGGTGGCTTCGTGCACTCTTTGCCTGGGGTTTATGTATCTCCAGTGTGCCTCAGTCTTTATGTGGATTTTTTCTCTGTTTCTTCTCACCTTTTCTTCCCTATAAATAGACTTGTCATGAATATAGGGCCTATCCTAATCCAGAATAATCTCATGTCAAGATGCTTAATTACATCTGCAAAGTTTACCCTTTTTCCAAATAAAGTCACATTCATGGGTTCCAAATGGACATATATTTGGGACCACCATTCACCCCACTACATAGGCAGAAGAGAAATAACATGGTTGCAGATGGAGCCAACCAACCTCAAAACAAGACTACCCTGGATTATCTTGGTGGCCCCATGTAATCACTGGGTCCTTAAAAGTAGGAGAGGCAGGAGAGTAGGTCAGAGAGATTGAGTGGGTGAAGGACTTAACCCAACATTTTTTACTTTGAAGATAAAGGAAGAAGTCTCCAGGGCAAGGAATGCAGACAACCTCCAGAGGCAGCAGAAGACAAGAGTGCTTCTGATCTAGAGCTTCCAGAAGGAATATAGCCCTTCTAACATCTGGATTTTAGCCCCATGAGAAGTGTCAGACTTCTGACGTACAGAACTGCAAGATAATACATTTTGGTTTCTTTAAGTTACTAAACTTGTAGCAGTTTTGTTACAATAGTACTTACTAAAATAATAGCCATAATGACGTGTTGTTTTTTTTTTCCAGAAGTTAAGGTAAACATTACAGTAATGCAGAAGTTTAATCACTTATATTATTTCCTTTAAAAGGATTTTTACTGTGCACAAATTATTACTATCACTATACTTCCATAAATATTTACCAAATGTATACTACTTTATTGTGGTGATAATGGTATGTAACAAACCACCTCTAAGCGTCTAAATGTTGCTATGACAACATTTAATTTTCTCCTCTTTTTGTGTATTGTCTGGGGTTGCTCTGCTTAGGTTGTGTATTTGGTTCACTGCTCAAGTCATGTTCTTTTATTTCTGATGGCAAAAAGCAATAGAAATGAGAAGAAACACATGACACCTCTTAGGCTTTCAAACCTACTCTTGGCCAAGGCAAGCCACATGGCTGAGCCTAACAACAACAATATGGGGGTGTATACTCCACTCAGAGAAAACCATGGCGATGGGAAAAAAAGGATGCAGCAATTTCTGTGGAAACGTTATGCATTAAAAACTTTCAATAAATTTATATATAATGTAAATATAAAGCATTGTGAATAAAAATGCAAAATATATTATATACTAATAATATATATTTAATATATACTATATTATTATATGCTATACAAACTGAAGGACGGTATCAGTGCTAACATGGAACAGCCCAGAAAACAGCGTAGAATTGCATACTTGAAGATTGCAAAATACCTCATAATACCAAAGTCAGGGTACATTTCTCAAGTTCATTTGTTCTGAACCATTTTATACTGTCAACTATTTCCTTATTCTTGCAACATTTTCCTCGCATCCCTGCTATAGCAGTGTATGGCCATTGTTCTTACCATTTTGATTCCTTGCTGTCATTCACTAAAGCTTTGTCTTCTAACTGTTCAATAATTTCATATTTTAAAAGTTGTATTGACACTAAGGTGGAAGGCCTTAACATGAATGCAAAGGAACAAAAACTCATAAAGAAAAAATATGTTTAACTGCATGCATTATTAAACGTTGTTCAGGTTTGAATGTCAGGGGAAAAAGTTAATAGTGGATTAAACATATTAGAAGCTTATTCTGGAGGAAATGCAGTTTATGGCTTGTATGATGAGTCGGCTCCATGAAATCTATCACTCCTCCATTCCTTAATCGTAGGGTCTAAGGAGTCATCTGCATTTCAATAGGATGGAGAGACTAATGGAAAAGAATGGGCAATGAGCATGTAACAGTGTCTCTTGAGGAAGTCCTTGTAAACTGCACATGATATCCAAGTTACATTCAGTTGGCCAAGGGTTAAACACAGGACCGCTCGTAACTACAAGAGGAGATTGGAAATGTAGACTTTTTTCTGTTATCTTTGTGCCTACATGAAAATTTTGTCAGCATAAGAGAAGCGGAGAATTACTGCATGGTGGGGCCATGCAGTCTCCACAACACTAAATAAAACTTTTAAAGTATGTGTGAAATGTCATAAAATGTTCAAGTTGGGAAATACTGCAACTTACAGAGTGTAAACATCATAATACAAATTAGTACAGTAGTATAAATAGTAAGAGTAATGGAAAATTCCAGTAACAAACACAAGCAAAAGATAAAGATAACACCTCCAGTCACAAATACAAATAAGGAACACAAAATTACTTCCAAATTATTGGAAATATTGAAATAAAGTCCAGGAAACTCTTAAGGGACAGGTAAATACAGAGAAATAGATTCTTATG